AGAGAGACCCGGGTTCAGTTTCCGCTAAGGGCACGTACCTCGGTTGCGGTTTGTTCCGGGCCCTTGTTGGGTCGTGCGGGTGGCAACCACTCGATGTGTCCCTTTCACGTCGATGTTTCTCTCTCTCTCTCTCTTCCTCTCTCTCCCTCTCACTCTATCTGAACAAAAAATGCAAAAATGTCCTCAAGTGAGGATAAAAAAAAGTTCTAGAGATTGGCCTTACAACCATATAAATAAATACACTTAACACTACTGAACTGTACATTTAGAAATGGGTAAAATGGTGCACTTTATAGTGTGTGTATTTTACTATATTTTTAATAAAATATGCCCTGAAATTTAGTGGCTTGAAACAGCAACAATCATTCAGTGGTTGCCTCCCACATAACACCAACCAGGCAACCAGGGCCGGGAACAAACTGCAACTGAGGTACGTGCCCTTGACCGGAACCGAACCCACGACTCACTGGTCTTTTTCTTTTTCTTCTCTTTTTAAAATATTACTAAATCCATTGGGGAAACATTGGTTAATAACATTTTATACATTTCAGGTGAACAACTTTATTCTATGACATCTGTATACTCTATTGTGTTCTCCTACCTGGAGTTCTAATCTCCTTCTGTCACCATGTACTTGACCCCTTCATCTCGTTACCTTTCACAGTATCTGTGGGTCAGGAATTCCAGGAAGTCTTCAATGGCTGGTTCTGACCTGGGACATCTCATGAAGTTGCAGACCACATGGCTGGAGCTAGAATAGTGAAAGGCTGGAGGGCTAGGGGCTGGGCAGGCATCACTCTGTCTTTGGGTAATTTCAGGGCTTCTCCATGTGGTTTCTCCTCGGGCTTCCTCTCAACATGCAGCCTCAGGGTAGTGGGACTTCTTATCTGCTTTATTAGGGCTCAAACTCTAGTGTTCCCATGAACAGGGTGGAAGCAGCCTCTCCTTTCCTGACTTAGCTCATTAGTTAAGCAGTGTCCCTTCTGCCACATTCTTTTGGTCAAACAGTCATCAAAGCCTGTCCAGTTTCCAGAGGAGGGTATGAACATAGATCCACCTACTCTCTCAAGGGGAGCAGTGACAAAGGGATGTTTTAAGAGCATGGAGATTGGGAGATATTGTTGTGGTCACCTTTACAAAGTGCAATCAATCGGTCACAGCAGTGATCTAGAGCACTTAGTGAATCCCCATATTGCCATAATTATTTCTTTGGTTGGCATCATTTACAATGGGACTGGCAGGGCTTATTAATTTTTTTTCTTTATTGATTTTAGAGAGAGAGGAAGGAAGAGGGAGAGAGAGATAAAAATATTGATGAGAGAGAACAATGACTGGCCGCCTCCTGTATGTCCCCCACTGGGGATTTGGCTCCCAACCTGGGCATGTGCCCTGACTGGGAATCGAACCAGTGACTTCTTGGTGCAAGGGGTGATGCTCAACCACTAACCACACCGGCGGGGTGGGCTTATTAATTTTTTAAAAATTGTAGTAACAGTTTTGGCCAGTGTGGCTCAGTTGGTTGGGCATTGTACCGTGCACTGAAGGATTGCTGGTTGGATTCCCAGTCAGGACATATGCCCAGGGTTCAGGCTTTATCCCTGGTGGGGGGGCATGCAAGAAGCAGCCAATGGATGTTGTGCTCTCACATCGATGGTTCTTTCTCTCCCTTTCCCTTCTTCTCTCTCTAAAAATCAATTTAAAAATCTTTAAATTAAAAAAAAATTATAGTAACAAGTATATAACACAAAATCCACAATTTTAACCATTTTTAAGTGTACAAGCCAGTGACATTAAGTACATTCACAGTGTTATGCAACCATCATCACTGCCTCTATCTTTTTTCATCACCATCTGTGTCTGGGTTCTTTCACCTACCATAATGTTTTCAAGGTTCATCCAGGCTGTCGCAGGTGTCAGTGCTTCATTATTTGTATGGCTGAATAATACTCTATTATCTGGATATATCACATTTTGTTTATTAATCCATCAGTTGATGAATGGATTGGGTTATTCCACCTTTGGCTATTGTGAATAATGTTGCACTGAAGGTTGGCATTCAAGCATCTGTTGGAGTGCCCGTTTTCAATTTCTCTGGGTATATATCTAAAATGGAATTGCTGGTTCACATGACGTTTTTATTTTTATTTTTGGTACATGCCCCTAGCGGGAACCAAACCCAGGGCTCTCTGGTTGGCAGGCTGATGCTCCAACCGCTGAGCCAAAGAGGCCAGGGCCACATGACATTTTTAAGGGAAGCCTGCCCATTTCTTAAGGCCGGGACCCAGAAATTGGCCCGGAGAATTGAGTTCCCCAGCCATCAGCCAACATCAACTTGCCAGCCATGGGAGTGAGTCACCTTGGAAGAAGCTCTTCAACCCCATGCCATCAGATGACTGCAGCCAAAGTTAACATCTGACTGAACCCTCATGAGAGGCCGTGAACTAGAACTTCCCAGACAAACTGCTTCTGAATTCCCAACACATAGAAACTATGAGATAATAAATGTTTATTGTTTTTTAATAAAAAAAAAACTTTTTTTAAAAATCCTCACTCAAGGACATTTTTGCATTCATCTTCAGATAGAGTGAGAAGAAAGGGAGGAAGAGAGAGAGAGAAACATTGATGTGAGAGAGACACATCGAGTAGTTGCCAACCACATGACCCCAACCAGGGTCGGGGACAAACTGCAACCAAGGTTTGTGCCCTTAGTGGGAACCAAACCGGGTCTCTCCGGAATGCGGGCTGACGTTCTAACCACTGAGCAAACCAGCCAGGGCTGTTTATTGTTTTTTTAAGTTCCTTAATTTTTACATAATTTGTTGCATATCAATAACCAATAGGGTAGGCACTGACCGAAAATACACATATGTATTTCATCTTCACCCATGGACATTTTTGCATTTATCTTCAGATAGAGTGGGAGGGAGAGAGGGAGGAAGAGAGAGAGAGAGACATCAGTGTGAGAGAGACACATCGAGTGGTCGCCACCCACACAACCCCAACCAGGGCCAGGGACAAACTGCAACCAAGGTACGTGCCATTAGCAGAAATGGAACCCGGGTCTCTCTGGTCCGTGGGGTGACGCTCTAACCGCTGAGCCAAACCGACCAGGGCAAGGCCAAAAAAAAAAATATATATATATATATATATATATATAAATAAACATTTTTCGCCCTGGCCGGTTTGGCTCAGCGGTTAGAGCGTCGGCCTGCGGTCCTGAGAGACCCGGGTTCGGTTCCCGCTAGGGGCGCGTACCTCGGTTGCAGTTTGTCCCCGGCCCTGGTTGGTTGTGCGGGTGGCAGCCACTCGATGTGTCCCTTTCACATCGATGTTTCTCTCTCTCTCTCTCTGTTCCTCTCTCTCCCTCCCACTCTACCTGAACAAAAAATGGAAAAATGTCCTCGGGTGAGGATAAAAATAAATAAATAAATAAATAAATAAACATTTTTCTTTTATTGATTTTTAGAGAGAGAGGAAGGGAGAGGGAGAGAGAGATAGAAACATGGATGAGAGAGAACATTGATTGGCTGCCTCCTGCATGACCCCCACTGGGGATTGGGCCCACAACCTGGGCATGTGCCCTGATCAGGAATCTAACCGGCAACCTCTTGGTGCATGGGTCAATGCTCAACCACTGAACCACACGGGTCAGGCCCAAAAATATTTTAATGATATTATGACCTTGGATGAATTGCTATCCTTTCTGAGTCTCAGAGTTGTAATCTGTAAAAGGGGATAAAATAGCCACCTCCGAGGTACACAAAGTATGTACTTTATCAGGCAAGATCAGATCACATAGTAGGAGCTTAATATATCACCAGTGGTATAATCTTCTGATGAATCTTGTGGGCTACACAATCTAAATTTGAATTCTAGATTACTACTTCTAAGATATAAGACTTTGTTCAGGCTACTAGTACTTATCTCTGCTGGACCTTGGACTCCTTAGGTATGAAATGGAAATATTAAAGAACATATCTAATTTGATAAGAATTAGAGAAAAAATCCATATAAAACTTATTTAGCCCTGGCCAGTGTGGCTCAGTTGGTTGAGCATTGTCCCATGCACCAAAAGGTCACCGGTTCGATTCCCGGGTCAGGGCACATACCTAGGTTGCAGGTTTGATACCTGGTGGGGGTGCATATAGGAGGCAACCTATCGATGTTTCTCTTTCACATCGATGCTTCTCTCTCTTTCTCTCCCTCTTCCTTCTTCTCTTTCTAAAATCAATAAAGACATTTTTATAAAAAGCTTATTTAAACTCCATGAGAGGGCAGCTATTTTCTTTTTCACTGTGCTATCCCTAGCACAGAACAAGTGCTCAATAAGTATTTATTGATTGAATAATAAAAAGGCACCTTGCCTAAGGAAAATACCTATTAGCTATTACCAGCCTACAAGGCCCTGTATGATCCCCCACCTGCTTCAACTACGATCTAATTTCTTACTTCTTGCCATCCTCTCACTCTGCTCCAGCCACCATGCCCTCTTCCACAGTTCAGCCAGCAAGGACACTTCAGTTTCATGGCCTTTGCACCTGCTGTTCCCCTGCCCGGAAATGGCCATCTCCCCGGTATTCACATAGCTTGTTTCTTGTTTCTTCAGATCTTTGCTCAATGTTTCCTCTGAGAGACCTTCCCTGGACATTCCTGTCACCCTATAGTCCCATGCCTTGCTTTATTTTTCTCCAAAGCATTTAGCATGGTCTGATTTATATTTATTTTTCTTTGCGCTCTCCTCAACATAAGGTAAGCTCCATGAGGGCAGGACTTCGTCTATGGTATTCGCCACTCTGTTTCACAACACCCCCACTACCGAGTTTGCAGCAGGCACTCCATACATATTTGCTGAATGAAGAGTCTCATAATAGCCTCCTTCCCTCGTGGGGGACATAGACCCGGGTATGTTTTGGGTGGGGATGGGCTGCAGTTACAAGCCCGCCTTGGGAGCTGGTGGGGTCCACGTGGTCCCAGGCCGCAGGGGCCGGCCGAGCCGCGGTGAAGCTACTGCGCAGGCGCGGTGTCCGGCGCAGGCGCAGGCGCGTCCAGGGCGCGCGGCCGGCGGCGGTTGGCGACAGCAGGACCTGAGCCCAGGCAGTGAGAGCCGGCGCCATGGTGGAGAAGGAGGAGGCTGGCGGCGGCATCAGCGAGGAGGAGGCGGCGCAGTATGACCGGCAAATCCGTCTCTGGGGATTGGAGGCCCAGAAACGGTCAGGGCTGGTGCACCTTGTGGGGGCTGAGGGTCTGCCGGGGGCGTCCGGCCTGAGGCGTTCGCGGTCCTCAGGGAGCCGGAGGGTCTACTTTGAAGAGAGGAGGCGGGAATTCTGTACCCGGGCTGGTATCCGGCCTGAGAGGACGGGGAGCGTTGATTTGGGATGTTTCTGGACGGTGATGGGAAGCGAGGACACCCCAGGCGGGTGAGAGGGCCGTTCTGAGTTATTGGAGGCTTCTGGGAGGGGTTGGGGGAGTCCTGAGCGAATAGGATTCAAACTTGGGGACCCGGAAGCCCGAAAAAGGTGATGGAGTTTAGGTCTGGCGTGGGGACTTGGAGACGGGGGTGGGGGTGGGGATGCCTGGAAAGGATGAAAGGGGGGCGTAGTTCATTCATTAGTACATAATGGAGACCTGTCCCCTGCTGGACGCTGGGCAGACTGGCGAACGAACATGCACCTTACATTCTTGTGGCTTCTAAGGGGTGGGCCGGTCTGAAAGAATGAGTGGTTTTGAGGAGTTTGAAGTTAAGTTATTTTTAGTGGGAGTCTTGAGAGGCTCTGAGAGTCTGGGGGGGTGGGGGGCAGGAGGCTCGTGTCTAGGTATGGGGATGTGTCTGGAGAGGACAGGACCCCGAGGTTGGGCATACCTGGGTATTGAGGAACAGTTACCAGAGGAGATGCGGCCCTTGAAAGAGGTGGTTGATTTGATCCGATATTTATCGAGCGCCTTCCGCAGTCGCTGTTCCAGCCATAGAGCATATATCCCTGCACTAAACAAACTCCTCGCCCACATGGAACCTACCTTCTGGTGCTGGCAACAAACATAATCTTAACATTAAGTAAGGCAGGTGTGAGGGAGAAACATAAAGTAGGATAAGAGGATGGATAAAGGGTGGTGAAGTGGAATTATTTTGATAGGGTGGCCAGGGAAGGCTTCTGAAGAGGTAACATTGGGCACCAGACCCGTATAAAAAGAAAAATCTTCCTGGAAGGACCTTGCTGCCGTAGAGAACAAGAACAGCAAGTGTAAAATCCTGAAGGCCAGTGCATGCTTGGCAAATTAAACAGGATGGCTGGAACCCAATGAGTGGAGGAGTAGCTTTTTTTATTTTTTATTCTAAATGTGCTGGGAAACCTGTGAGTGAGTGTTGAGTAGGAGTAAATGCTCTGATTTGTGTTTTCAAAGGACCACTCGTGCTGTGTGGACAATAGGCTAAAGTGGGCAGAAGTGGAAATAAGGGTTCCAGTTAGGAGACTACTGCAGTGTTGACTACAGTAATCCACTTGAGACATAAGTAATGGGGCTTGGAACTCTAGAAGAGGGGTCAAATATATGTGCTGGATGTATTTTGAGGGTAGAGGGGACAGGATTTGCTGAAAGAGTAATATGGATTATGAGAGGCAGAACTCAGGGATGACTGAGACTGGGCCTGAAGACATAGATGGGGTTGATTGATTTTAGGGATTGCTGTTTTGAAGGCTATTCTTCAAAATTCTTGGGAGGTTGGAGTTATCCTGAGGGAGTGAAGATGTACTGAACTCCATGAAGAACCTGAAAAGGATTGGCTGAGGGTCCTGGGAAGGAAGGAGGGAAGGGGGTTATCTATAATTTGGAAAATATTTGTAGACTATTTTACAAGCTTTATTTTATTTTATTTTATTTTTTTAATCCTCACTCGAGGAGATTTTTCCATTTTTTGTTCATATAGAGTGGGAGGGAGAGAGGAAGAAAAAGAGAAACATCACCATGAAAGGGGCACATCGAGTGACTGCCACCCGCATGACCAACCAGGGCCGGGGACAAACTGCAACCAAGTACGCACCCTTAGTGGGAACCGAATCTGGGCCTCTGGACCGCAGGCTGACGCTCTGACTGTTGAGCTAAACCGGCCAGGGCTTACAGGCTTTATTAATGTGGTTTCATGTCCATTTTTGTTTTTTTATCCTCACCTGAGGACATTTTCCAATCTTTTTGTTCAGATAGAGTAGGAGGGAGAGAGAGGAAGAAAGAGAAAGAGAAACATTGACGTGAAAGGGATACATCGAGCGGCTGCCACCCACACAACCCAACCAGGGCCAGGGACAAACTGCAACCAAAGTATGTGCCCTTAGTGGGAACCGAACCCAGGTCTCTGGACCGCAGGCCGATGCTCTAACCGCTGAGCCAAACCGGCCAGGGCTCATGTCCATTTTTTTTATTTTTCCCTCACCCAAGGACATTTTTGCATTTATCTTCAGATAGATCGGGAGGGAGAGAGAGGGGAAGAGAGAGATAGAGAAACATCAGACGTGAAAGACACATCAACTGGTTGCCACACACACGACCCCAACCGGGGCCGGGGACAAACTGCAACTGAGGTATGTGCCCTTAGGGGGAACCGAACCTGGGTCTCTCTGGTCCGGGGGCTAACGCTCTAACCACTGAGAAAAACCAGCCAGAGCTCTTTTTTCTTTTTTTTAAATATATTTTCATTGATTTTTTAGAGAGAGGAAGCAGGGAAAGAGAGAGAAACATCGGCTGCCTCCTGCATACCTCCTACTGGGGATCGAGTCTGCAAACCAGGCATGTGCCCTGACTGTGAATTGAACAAGGACCTCTCAGTCCATGGGAAGACGCTCAGTCCACTGAGCCACACTGGCCGGGCTCTCATGTCCCCTTTTTTTTTAATCCTTACCCGAGGACGTTTTTCCATTTTTTGTTCAGACAGAGCGGGAAGAAGAGAGAAGACGAGAGAGAAACATCAACGTGAAAGGGACACATTGAGTGGCTGCCACCCGCACAACTCAACCAGGGCCGGGGACAAACTGCAACCGAGGTATGTGCCCTTAGCGGGAACCGAACCTGAGCCTCTCTGGACCACAGGCCGACACTCCAACCACTGAGCCAAACTGGCCAGGGCTCATGTCCATATTTTAGCTGAGCCTCACAGCAGGGTTCTGGAGTAGGAAGGGCAGTGATTTTCTCCCTTGTACAGATAGGAAAGATGCTTCACAGAGCATGTCAGGGAACTTCGGGTGAGATAGGAAAACTCTGGGGACTGGGGTACCTTTGTGAAATAGAAGATGGCGTGGGGGTCGGTAGGCTGCATTCTGGCTCCAGTTTTGCCTCTGAATGTGATGTTGAGAACTGAGAGAGAGAGTATTATTATCAAAAAGGGCCTTCTCAGAGAACTTAATAGTCTAGAAGTTAAAAACTGGGCTGTATCACTCAGCCCACAGAGTGTTTACATTTTTTGAAATTAGTTGTCAGCATTTAAAAATCCATAGACTTGGCCACAATTGGGAAATCTGAGCATTGGAAACACTAAGTCAACATCATTTAAAAATATGTAATAGTTCCTGGACAGTGTGGCTCAATGGATTGACCGTCATCCTATGGACTGAGAGGTCCTAGTTCAATTCCCATTCAGGGCACATGTCCGGGTTTTGGGCTCGATCCCTAGTAGGGGGCATGCAGAAGGCAGCTGATCAATGTTACTTCCTCACATCGATGTTTCTTTTTTTTTTTAAATTTTTTTTCTTTTATTGATTTTAGAGAGAGAGGAAGGGAGAGGAAGAGAGAGATAGAAACAATGATGGGAGAGAACATCGACTGGTCGCCTCCTGCATGCATCGGGCCCACAACCTGGGCATGTGTCCTGACCGGGAATTGAACTGGCAACCTCTTGGTGCATGGGTTGACGCTCAACCACTGAGCCACACCGGCCGGACTCAAATAGATGTTTCTATCTCTCCCTTCTTTCTCTCTCTTAAAAAAAAATAAAGCCCTGGCTGGTTTGGCTCAGCGGTTAGAGCGTTGGCCTGCGGTCTAGAGAGACCCGGGTTTGGTTCGCACTAAGGGCAGTTTGTCCCCAGCCCTGGTTGGGTTGTGCGGGTAGCATCCACTCGATGTGTCCCTTTCACGTCGATGTTTCTCTCTCTCTCTCTCCCCCCCTCCCACTCTATCTGAACAACAACAAAAAAGGAAAAATGTCCTTGGGTGAGGATTAAAAAAAAAATCAAAACGTATTAAAAAATTAAAAATAAATAAAAATGTTACTTTATTTGAAAAAAAATTTAATAGCTTACAACCCATAAGACCAAGGTAATATTCAAACAAAAGAACAGTAAAAAAAACATAGTTGGCCCTGGCCAGTTTGGCTCAGCAGTTAAGAGTGTCGGCCTATGGACCAGAGAGTCCAGGCTTGGTTCCCGCCCAGGCATGTACCTTGGTTGCAGTTTGTCCCCTTCCCAGTTGGCGGCAACCACTTGATGTGTCTCTTACATGGATGTTTCTCTTTCTCTTCCCCCTCTCTCCTTCCCGCTCTATTTGAAGATAAATGCAACAGTGTCCTTGGGTGAGGATTAAAAAAAAAATTAATAATGTTCTTTCTGATGTGGGGAAAGAACAGTGCATCACCTTTGAAATTTTCCTGCTCAGTATCTATCTTTGACCTTAATCATGCTTTTAGGGAACAGAGGAACAAATTAAGGACACCATTAAGGTAAATGATAACATGTCTAGAAGATGGAACTTTTTTTTGTTGTTAATCCTCACCCGAGGATATTTTTCCTATTGATTTTTAGAGAGAGTGGAAGGGATAGAGGAATGGGAAGAAGTGAGAAAAAGAAAGAGAAACATCTATGTGAGGGAGACACAATTGGTTACCTCCTACAGGTGCCCAATGAGGGCCAGGGATCGAATCTGCAACTCAGTTACGTGCCTTTGACAGGGAATCGAACCAGAGACCCCTCAGCGCACCAGCCAAGGCTCTAACTACTGCACCAATCCGCCAGGGCTAAAAGGTGGAACCTTTTACAAGACAATTGCACTGGTTCTATTCCTGATGTCAGTGTCATGGGATAAACAAGTGAAGGGACTGTTGTAGATCAAGGGTAAAGAGGTGGAGCCAAATGCGAAGTGTGAGTCTTGACTGGATCCTGGTTGAAAAAAAAATTTCTAGAATAAAGCATTTTTTAGATAATGGGGGAAATTAGACTATTCAGTTCTGTTAGAT